AGGTGACCCTGCTATCGTCGTCAGGCCGTAGCTAAAATTATTATAATAACAATATGTATAAAACAGTTACAATAATTACCGTCAGGTAGGTAACAGATAAAAAGTTAAATTGGCACATTACAAAATTGAGAAAGCTTTAGGGTGAAAAAGTCAATATAAAGAGACTCGAGTCCTCCTATACTGTATTGGGTTATTATGCTTACCTTTACACGTGTACCAAATGATTAGGTATACTCTTCATTATTTTAAAATTCAAATACATATTGTTGTGAACTTTATTTTGATTTCTTCTCATTGTGCGTAATTCAAAGTGTTGACTTTTCTATAAATGTAAACGTCAATTTCCGCGTTGCGTGCCTATATGTCTTGTTTCTGACTTATTTTCCTTGTCAATGTTTTTCTACTCCGTATCATATACAGGGTGGACCATTATTAGTACATGATTGGAAGATGATGGACTTATTAACGCCCATATTTACAATTCATTGTTGGGGCATGTTCAATCTAAAAATAATTTCAACGAAATTTCAATTGTTATACAGGGTAATTTATATATTGCATTTTTTTAAATAGAACCCCCGTATATTATTGCATATTTCGTTTCCTTGGTCAATTTTAGTAATGTGACTTGAATATTATCAGGGTGCTACGACTTTAAATGCAAGCCTCCCATAAGTTTAGCCGTGAGTTTTTTAAATTTTGAGTTTCTCTAACATACTAAAGTTTCAAATTTGATCAAAATCGGACCAAAACCATCAAAAAAGTTATTTAAGGCTCCAAACACCGTTGCCTAATTCGGATCAGTCATCAAAAATTGATGACCTTTTGTATAAAAATGAAAATATCTCCTGGGATTCACAGCTACAGCCTCTGGTGTTGTTTGACAATCTCGAGTGCTATTGGTATTATCTAATTGTATTTGGATGTTCCCTTTTAGTTTGTTTTTAACACTCTACGCCCTACGGAAACGAAAGAAACTAAAAAGAATATTGGAATCATCACTCATCAGATTATAACCGAATAACCAAAGAATACGAGAAAATTCGATAGAATACTTAATTTTGTTTCCTATACGTTTTTTAATTGTCAACTATGCAGAACGATGTTAAGGTGGCGTGGAGTTTTTTTTAGCAACTTATTTCCTAAATAACGGCGAAAGTGCAGGAATTGGCTAAATAATTTTTGTTTCATGCAAATGTCGGAACATTATATATTTGAATGAATTCTATTTCAACCAAAAATTTGTACCCAGAAGGCAGTTATTGTGGAAAGAAATTTCCAATGTTTCAATGTAAACGCCACCTTAAGGTAAAATTGATGACGATATTAAAAAATTTGGACGGTGCTCTATGAAAATCTGTGGTATTCTGTAGTAATCTCTCATATTTTGGTGCTGGTGGAACATATTTGGCATTTCCAAGTGAAAAATAGAAAAAAATATTCAGAAGTACCCCCCTTGATTGTTTATTTAGTACAGTAGATTGAATATACGAAATTAATTGAGGCACACAGTGTAACGGTTCTCGGGCTTCAACCTCACAGATCGTGAGTTCGAATTCCACAACCTGCCTGCTTCGGAGGGCATGTAAATCTGGCGGTCCCGGCAGTCATACCGCGACTGTCAAATAACAAAAAAATAGCACTCTGGAAGTTTTTTTCGACCAAAATTAAAATTTTACAGATCACATGTCGATTTTTTCTTGATTATTGATACCATATATTTTCCCTGATGCACTAGATGACTAGAGAAGTGACGTAAATGAAAATGATGATGGTGTTCATTTTTTTAAATACATGTAAGATATCCGTTTTTATATTGGAATTTTTTTACTAATTATATCAATTTTATTTAAACAAA